AACCGCAGTAATCATGAATCAGTTGTCAACGAAAAAGATGGAATCGTAATGTGTTTTTGTCATTGTTAATAACTTGTTTGATTTTCAACCAGGAAAAAATATAAAAAGAAAGCCAATATTCAAAAGATCAGCCAACAAAGAAACAATGAATGAGATTTATTCAGTTTTGTCTGTGCAATTTTCTATCGATTTCTCTTGTGAAATCTCTCCCATTTCTAGCTGTAGGTAGCTTTCACTAGAAAAGACAGGAAAATGCACGTGGTAGATTTTTATAGAACGCGTGAGCGAAATATTGAAGGAAAGCGATCGCGATTCCGGCGAATTGTAAATTTCCCGGGGCCATAACAAACATCACGTGACTTTGTAGCTCTTTTGCGCATGTTTTGTATCGAAAGTGTCTTATTTCTGCAGACACTTCAGCTGATCTGGTTAATATTGTACTTAGATATCAAGGACAACAAGAAATCTAATTTTGTATGCCCTCTTTAATTATTTTTTCCAGTTGGAGAACAGAGTTCGGAAGGGATGCCACAGAACGCAAACGAGCAAAATTTGCTTGTTGTTTTCGGCGCCTCTGTAAGTAACAACTTTGACAGTATCTCACGCGATTTACTAGTGATGACCCGTACTTTTACTGACTTTAGAAATCTTGTAAAGTATTTCGCTAAACTGTTATGACAACATCAAGACACAAATTCAGTGCCTTACTCCCCCCTTAGCTACTTATTACCTGCTTTTATGAAGCTCCGTTCAGCCGAGCAAACATTGTTTGCACGGAAGAACCGTTCACGTTCATGGACAAGTTAGCAGACTGCAGGATTGTTAAGTTTTCAGTTTCCATTTATTCTGAAGAAGATTAACATCACTCGTATATCTCTTAAAGGTTTCAATATGAAATAAATTTCCCTTTTGCGTTTTCATTATTTGTGTTTGCATACAATAATATTTGCTGAAATTGTTTGCCTTGTACAATATTTGCGTGCAACTGTATGGGACATTTAAATCACCTGCAGTAGCTGAATAGGTTGTCAATCCTTTATTAAGTACTTGTCTAGTAACTTTTTGACTTTGCTTTTGCAGGGAGATCTTGCAAAGAAAAAGATTTATCCAACTTTATGGTATGTTAAGTTATGCATTTAATTAAGTTGTTGTTGCAAAATTGTTGCAAAAAAGTCAATTTATGAAGGAAAGAACTTGTTTGAAGTACAAGGCTATGTGTTGTAACATAACGCTTGTGCATAACAGTTGGAAATGCCCACTATACTAAGGATAGTATGAATAAATTGTCATTTGGTGTACCTAAATATTTTATTTTGTTTTGTTGATAATATGATTTTAATTCTTAATTGAAAATAATTTCCATATATATATATATCAATTGGGAAATAAATTCTTTAAAAAAGTGGGAAGAGGAGTTTGTATAAACATGCAAAAGTGAATGACAGTCTAAGTTTCTTCACAATAAATTGACCTGTGTTGAAATGGCAGTGAATTTTAGTGCATAATAAAATATTAGTCACATTTAAAGTTTCTGATCTGTTGGGTTTTAAACAGTTTTGGTGTCATCAAGAGCCATCCTGACTTTGGTCATCTAAATGTACATAATTATGTTAATAATGTTTAAAGCATCTGCATGCGCATCTCAGTGACTTTTTAGTGCAAGAAGATCTGATGAGTCTGTCATGCACATATTTCCTTTTTTTCCTTATTTATTTATTTATTTTCTTTCATTCTTTCTTTCCTTTTTTATTCACCTGCAGGTACTTGTTCAAAGATGACCTTATACCTAAAGGCACCAAGATTATTGGATATGCCCGGTCAGATTTGACAGTTGAAAAGTTAAGAGCTAAGACGGAGCCTTTTATGAAGGTAAACCAATGATGCTGAGTTTGATGCCCTGTATAAAATATTTAGGATAGAAGTTTTAGTATCTTGAAAATAATCATGTGCTGATATTTTACAGGAAGCTTGAGGTGTTTTTGTTAAAAGTAAAAACAATGTGTGATAAGATAAGTCCACTTTAGGGTACATATATTTCAGTCCTTTTTGAATCATGTAGCATAGCAGTACAGCCACTTCTTCTCTCAGCGTGCAAATAAAATAGTGTCCGATAGCCCACGCCTAGTCGATTTTGCTATTAGGCTAGTGAATTCTGTTTTTAACTTGCCTGACAAGCAAGTGATGTTTTGAGGAATTCGAATAACAGAAGAACTGTGAAATCACTTTTCTAGTCAAAAAGGTTTTTGGGGTTAGCTGAAATAACATCTGGGCTTAGCTTCAGCTTGCCCAAATGGCAAGCTGTAAAAATGATTTTCTTTGCATCCTGTCTCTCCCCCACCCCCCCCCCCCCCCCTTCACTTACTGTAGGACATTTGCAAGAGACACATGTCTGCGTTTTGGCCTTGCATGCTGGTCTTGTAAATCCGTCCAGAAGCTGGCCAGGATCTCTGATTGATTGATGTTGTAATAATACACTTTCAGCTATTGTTTATGTCTGACAGACTCTCTCCTCAGTAGAGGCCTTTTTGTGTTGTAGGGAGGTTGGGGAGAGAAAAAAGGAAGACATACATGATGTGAATCAGGGGTGTAGCCAGGATTTTTCAAAGGGGGGGTCACTATCTGGGGATCGCTGACTATATATGGTTTATACCGCTGCTCTCCCTCGCGTATCGGGGGGCTCAGTCGTATTATCGCAGCATGAAGGCCCATATTAACTAAAGACAAGAGCCATTGACAAAAATAGTTTACAAAAAAACAAATTTTAAAAAAGTGGGCTTTTCAACAATGGCTTTTACGGCCAAGACATTGTCATGGCGTTTTCGCCACCTGAATATTGTAGGTTGTTTGTTCAAAAGAAGGCCTACCAAGGGGGGATCACAGGCACCCCAGGACCCCCCCTAGCTACGCCCCTATGAAGGGGAAAGAGAGGAAGACAGGCCTGCAGACTTTTTCTTTCTTTCCAATGTTCACCGCATGCTTATTGTTGAAATGCCGAGTAGTACCAAGAAACACTTATTTCCTAGCCAAGGATATTACATGTATATATATCTGCTGTACAAGAGATTTCAGTTTTGCTGGTGTGAAATTCGCAGCAGAACTCAAAATACCACAACTGTAATTGACAAGGAAAAACAGAAACCTGTACAAATTCATATCATCTAGAACATCATGACTACTATGATAAATAATAATCAATAATGTTAATAATTGATAATGATTAATAAAATAAGTAATTTTCAATGGCATCTCATTCAGTATGGAATCTTTGAGACCAGGATGCAGATGTCTCTCTCCAAAAACAACCCCTTACAATGAGGCGACTCTATCTGCAAGCCTTGGCTGTTTTAAATTTGATCATTAACAACAAGTTGAACCATTATTTTTATTTTGCAGCTGAAGGATGATCAGAAGGCCAAGGTAGAAGAGTTCTTCAAGAATTGCTATTATGTGAAAGGTCCTTACAATGAAGAATCAGGTTATAAGAAGCTAAATGCAGAGCTTGAAAAGCTTGGTGAAGGGAAGACTGTTGTTAACAGACTGTTCTACCTTGCTCTTCCTCCATCTGTATTCATAGATGCATCAGAGAATATCAAAAACAATTGCATGGGGACAAAGTACGTAACCTGATAACAAACACAAAAGATTGAAATCAGAAAAGAATGAAAACTTTTTTGAGAACTTGCAGTGGTATTATTTTTTTTGGGGGGGGGAGGGGAAGGAATTGGAGGCATACTCAAGGAAATATGCCAAAAGTTCCTGGGTTATCCTGGTTGATAAACAACTGGTCTCTCCCCTACAAGTCGCCAAACCTTTCTGGTAAAATTTACTCTGGCAGCGTAGACCTGCAAGCTATCCTAAAATCCCACTAGATGGTTGTTCACATTAATTTATGCCAGGAGTTTTTGGCAGTATTTTTTCTGTATCTTTCACCAGTTACAGCAAGTGTTTAATTAGATGATATACAGTGTAGTCAGCCACATTTTAATTCTACAACAAAATAGTCTGTTTAATGCTTTAAGAAATCAAAACAATTAAAAAGAAAAGTTACCACAAAAGATATAAATCCATCTGCTGTTGTATTTATCTTCATTTTCTTGTTTTCCTATAACTTTTTCAACTTTAAATCTACAATAGCTAATTCTGTAAATAACTGGCAACTTGAATAGGCCTAATATGTAGGTTTTGTATGTATATATTTTTTAATTAAGATCTGGGAATTACTAAAGACAAGTCTGGCATCTCTGTTTAAATAAATAGCTTTGGGAAGAACCACTGATATTTTTATTTGGATCCTTACTTTTCAGGGGGTGGAACAGAGTGGTCATAGAGAAGCCATTTGGCAAAGACTCAGACAGCTCTGCAGAATTGTCCAATCATCTGGCATCACTGTTTCCCGAGAACTCAATGTACCGTATTGATCACT